CCTACATTTTTACTTTAGACAATTAAAAAGTGTGATTTCTGCAAAAAAAAATTATCAATGGATTTTTTAGTTCTGTGTAGTTTAGTATCAAAGTGTTATATCAAACAAAATATTTGAAGCTGAAAGCCTAGAACAGAGGTGCCCAAAGTGGGGCCCGTGGGTCAAAATTGGCCCACCATGCCATTTGATTTGGCCCACCATCAGTTGTCCTGGTTACTAGATTGAAATTATGTTAAGATTAAATATAAAATACAGGTAACAACAAGAGACATTTCAATTGGATTTAAGCCCATATTTAGAGTTGCACACCTTATAAGACCCCCTATACTAAAATTTTAAATTATGAAAAGTCCCATGAGCCTTTGCTGACCAAAAATAATTTTCTCCATGTGCATGGGCTGAAAAAAAAAGAGAAAAAGAATGTTGGCCACCGCACTGGCTGCTAGCTCAATCATAAAATAATAAAACAAATTTACTTAATATGTATTTGCATTTTTTATATTATTGCATTTGGCCCGCGGCCCTCAGATTGATTATAATCTTGGCCCTCTCAGGGAAAATGTTTGGGCACCCCTGGCCTAGAATATTTACGCATCACTAAACATATTTTTATATAACTATTTTATTTTTTCTGTCCAGTGTGGAGCTAATTCTAGTTTCAAACGGCCCCTGTGAGTGTGATTCTTAGTTATAATGTACAGATAATTAAAACTGATTTGTTTTTTTGTACAGTGCCCTGAGATGATTTTTGTTGTGAATAAACAATATTTTTTAATAAAACTTAAAATAAATTATTTTAAAAAGGTTTAGGTGTGGTATACTAAATAAAAAAAGAAAGAAAGAAAAATACATATACCAGTGCAATGTTGTACTTAAAGGTAGACTTTTGTATGAATTTTGTAAAGAATATTATGCATTTTTTCCACATTCAGAAGGTGAGTGAATTCAGGCTACATGAGATGCATTCAAAAGTCTTGAGATGCCCTCTCATTTTTTTTCTTGTCTGCACTAGTTAAGATGGGACTGAACTTTGTTTTACGTTTTCTTTCTTTAACTCAACCAGTGTCCTTTTAGAATCCTTGGCAGCAGTGATGACATCGTTACATTTAGCTTTTAAGTTAATCAAACATCTTTTAATCACCAAAGAAATGATGGAGCAAAGAGGGAACTGTTTGTCTTTAATTTTCTACATGAATATCCTGATGCATCTCAGTAATCCAGATAAAAAAATCAAAAAGAAAAAAAAATTGTATTGGTCTTCTGGACAGGTTCTTCTCTTATGAAACATTTTGTCTCTTCTCCAAGAGACTTCTTCAGTCTGAGAGTTTCAGGCAAAATTCAGGCTTTTAAGCCCTGCCTCCATGTGACTGATACTCACCTTCAGGTGAAAATGAAGACCCCAAACCCAGACCCAAACCAGTGGTTATTCCGTATGTTGCGGGTGTTTTGGAG